GAAGCTCTAGAGCTTGAAACTTCACGCATGTAGATTTCTTAAGATGTAGCCTTGGAGGTCTGTGGTCATCTCTGCTGCCATTCTCCTTATCCTCTGAGTTACCACTCTACTCCAGGGCTCCTGCCCTGTGTCCAGAGCAGATTACATGGTACCTCCAGAGAGGTGGGGTAGGTCTAACAGCCCCAAAAGAAGCAACAGGGTGGTGGCAGCAGAGCAGATATGGAAAGGCTCTGATACGGGAGGGTGGGCCAGGAGCATGGATGGCATGAAGAGATGTGAGGCTACCGAGTTTCTTGTAGCTCAGTCACAAATGGAGGCAAGATGCCCCAAGCTGGTGACGATGTCCATGTTCCAGCATTGTGTGATGCTAGAGACACCCCGGTCATGCAGACATCTGAAAGCTGTATCCTGGCAGGATACTTCACTGTGCAAAGACATTGCTTTTGGAGGGGCAAACATATCAGACCTTGAACATAGTTTCTGGTTTTGTGTCCCTCATTACAAAAAACACATTATCACAGAATCACAGAATATGCTGAGCTGGAAAGGACACAGCAGGATCATTGAGTACAACTCCTGTTTCTGCACAGAACACCACAAAATCACACCATGAGCCTGAGAGCATTGTCCAAATGCTTCTTGAACTCTGACACACTTGGTGCTGTGACCACTTTCCTGGGGAGCCTGTTCCAGTGCTCAACCACCCTCTGGGTTAAAAATCTTTTCCTGACATCCAACCTAAACCTCCCCTGACACAACTTCAGGCCATTCCCTCTGGTCCTGTCACTGTCACCCCAGGGCAGAGATCAGTGCCTGCCCCTCCTCTTCCCCTCATGAGAAAGCTGTAACTGCTGTGAGGTCTGTCCTCAGCCTCCTCCAGGCTGAACAGACCAAGTGACCTCAGACACTCCTCACATGGCTTCAATGACAATTTTCGAAAACCTCAATGTCTTTCTTATACCCAAAACTGCTCCCAGCACTCGAGGTGAGGCTGCCCCAGAGCAGAGCAGGACAATCCCTTGCCAGGCTGTGATGCTGTGCCTGATGCATCTCAGGACACAGATGGCTCTCCGGGGAGTCAGGGCACTGCTGGCTCGTGTTCAACTTGTTACAGGCCAGGTGCTGGAGCTGCCTTCTAGCCTCTCATTCCCCAGTTTATTCACACATCTAGAGTTGCCCCATCACAGGTGGAGAAACTGAAGTGCTTGGAGCATGTTCAAAGAAGAGCAAAGAAGCTGGCAAAGAGTCTAGAAAACAAGTCCTGTTAGGAGCGACTGAGGGAGCTGAGGGTGTTAAGCTTGATTTCATGGTCTTAAGGGTCTTTTTCAACCTGAACAATTCTATGATTCTATATTCTGGGCTGCTTGCAGGTGGTATGAAGCATGGAAGAAAGGGTGGAAATCCCTGCGTGTTTCAGTGCTGCGTGGGAACCGGGCACGTGCTCAGGCCAGGCTGTGGCTAACTCAGCTTCTCAGTCACCCCAAGGCCTGGTGAGGACTGATAAGTGACTCTTGACTCAGCAAAACATTGCCATAAGACACTGCAGAGCTAGTACTGTCAATGTTTCTCCATTTTGTCTGTCTTCAACCTTGAAGGGAGCTTTTGTAAAAGAAAGAGTCCTTGTGTCCCCAGGTACTTCAGAGGTGTTTAATGGAATAGATGGACTTTAAATCTTACAGAGCTTGCACTTGCATCTCTCAGGAAGAAAATCTCTGGAAGATATTTGTCCCTTAAGTGTAAATTACTTTAAATGCCAAGGAAGCAATTTCTGTATCCCACAGAAAATTTTGGTAATGGTTAGCAATGCGGAAATTATAGGCCCCACTTCAAGTAGTCTATGCTCTGAAGAAGAGGGACTGAGATGTGGCCAAAGTTGCACCCCCTTTGCTGCAGAGAAATGTGTGCAAATGTGTTAAATTTTCTGGCCAGTCCTGGCTACATTAACTGTTTCAGCTGGACACTTTACAGTCTGCCAAGTGCTGCTTCCCTCCCCTTTCTCTCCACATTTCAGTTCAGCTGGCCCTGGCCCATTTTCACTGATGTGTCCAGTTTCCTAGGTGAGGCCCTGGAAGACGTCAACCAAGTGTTCAGGAACCTGAGCATTTCCAGTGTCACAGACTCCTCAAATGTCATTGCAGCTGCTCAGTAGGGAACATCACCAACCTTGGGTACATCTCACCATGCCCCCACAAAGCTTTCAACACACAAATATCCTAGGAAATTTTTGTCCAAGGGACAAACACTTCTAGGGCTGGATCCTGCCATTGGTGGGACTGCTTTCATTGTAGACACAACACCAGGCTTTGGATCTATGTGTAAGTCAAAGGTCTTTATGAGCCTCAGGGGTATCTGTTCCCCTGTCTGGCAAGACTACTGCAAAACACTATCCAGAGACCTGCATATCCCTCCCTGCAGTCATGGATGCAGCCCTGGTCAACATGGGCAGCTGGGGGAGCTATGCTGCTGCCACTCTTACAGGGTGTCAGGGCACTTCTTCCAGTTTTGTCTCACAGGACAGTGACAGAGAACCAACTTGCAGGCTTGTCCTTCACTCCCTGAATTGAGAAAAACTTGCCTGGCTTCAACACACTGCTCTGGGACCAAGACTATTCACTGCTCTGTGTGACAAACTGTGGTGTCTGTGAAAGCATATAATCCCTTTCTTTCCCTGCCTTGACTGAAGCATGAAAAGATGAGAAACAGACAGATAAACTGAACAGAAAAAAATGTATACAAAAGTGCAAATTCATATACATACTCTCTGGCACAGATCAGGGCATTGCAGGCAACTTGCTGTCCACCATCTGCATCCTGAGTCTCACCTGACCTTGCAGGCCCTGAGGTCTGTGGTAGTGTTCAATCACTGCTTTCACAGTTCCCCTTGGTCTGCCACTTGCTTTTGAGCCATGCGAAATAAACAGCAAAATCCGCAAGTCCCTGGGAGGATGAGTATCTCTGAATTTGCTGTGTGTACAGTCAACACTGACCCAGTCCTGTGGTTGCCCATGCTCTGACCTTGCAGGTCTGGCCTATTAGTCTGTGTCTTAGTTCTGCAGTTTCTGAATAAACACTCCACTTTGTGCTGGAGGAATGTGGTTTCCCTCTTCAGAAGAGCTTCTGGATGGTCTGTGTTGTTTTTTCCTAGCCTCTGCACATAAATAGTTGTGGCTCTCAGGGCATACACAGCACACACGCTCTTGGGCTGCAGCCACTCTGCTGGTGCAGCTCGAGCCATGGCGTGGGGCTGAGATGCTGGTGACACTTGCCCACCCCAGGGAAAAATGAGCCCTAGTTATGTTAAGAGAGCTGCCCAAATAAATCCTGCCTATGGCTGAGTTGGCAGCAGCAGGACCAAAAAACCTCAGGACAGAAGTGAGCAATGCATTTGTATTCTTCACCGTGGATGTGTTTTGGGGTTCGTAGCCCTACCAAAGCCTTTCCCTGTGGTGCAGGGGAGACAACAAGGTCTGTAGAGAAGAACTGGCAACACAGAGAGTACCACACAGCCAAACCACCTCTTCCATGCTATTTGGGGACTGGAAGGGGGCAAACAGGCTTGTAGAGCCTTGGGACAAATTAACAGGTAATAGCAATAGCTATGGACAGGTGTCCCCTCCTCTGCAGAAGTGGAAAGGATCCAGGAAAGGAAAACAGGGAAAATCAAAACTCTGGACAGCCCTGAGAAACCAGGCTAGGATTTTTCAGCCTGGGAGAGAAATTTCTAAGGAGAATAAAGTTTTTGATGACTGCAGCTGCCTCTGGGACAGAAAACAGTGGATACAATCCATCTGATTGAGCACAGCTGTTTTATGCTCCTTGATACTATTTCCAGCTGCAGCATTAAGTCTGTCAGCATTGGCTTTGTTGTGCATTGTGGCCCTGTGGGTGTCCCAGCTGGTGGCTCCAGCAAGGTGCAGAACTGGGTGAGGGGTGGATTCCAGCTGACCAAGCACAATAGTCATAGCAGACACTGGCACATCTCCCAGACTCTGAGGATGGTCACTGACTTTGGGGAACTCACTTGACCACATGATGGACCCTGGACTCCTACTCAGATGCCTGCAAATGAGAGCTGTATGGGATACTGGTGTAACAGCAAGTTAGAGCAACAAGATCTCCTGTGGGTAAGCACAGACCTATCCTTGGAAGGTTTCAATTCACCTTCAAGCACTCTTCAAAGCTGATCAGAAAGCCAATAGTTCTGTACAAATACAAGATCTGGTGCAGGACTGAAATGAGCTAAGGAGGCAAGTCCAACATTAGCCCTCTGATACCTGCCACTGAGCAAAGGGGGCCCCTTGCCTGCCCAAGTTGCATGGCCTTGTTGCAGGTATTTTGTGAAAGCTGAGTTGTGTCCATGTGCCAGAAGTGGAAGATGAAAGAGCAGAGGAAGCCCCAAAGACTGCTGACATAGACTGAGCCCTGCCACAATCTCAAAAATGGCCCTGACACAAGGAGCAACCTAGACCTGAAAATTCTTCAGTGTGATGTTTTTCTCAAGTGCTAGAGCAGACATCTGGGACCTCTGGTGTTCACCATCTCTGCTCAGGCTCTTTTCATGCTCTCATGTGTTATCTGAGCTGATTGCTCTATGAAAGGGCCTTAGATAAAAAAACAGAATAACATCTAATATGCAAAGTGCAGATGTAAATATTTTCAATTTACATCATGTCTGAAACCTGTGAAGCAGTTTACCAGGGAGCCAGGGAATCATCTTCTCCCATGCCAGAGAAACTTTATTTTCCCTTCCCTAAATTGCCTCCTACAGAGAAAAAAACTTTGCTTGTTCAGCATCTTCTTCATCAGGACTGGTGCCTTTCTTGCTATGTCCCACAGCCTTTCCCGCAGGAGTGTGAGTGAGCTAATACCCTATGCAGAGGACCCCAGTTTGCTATGTGGATCTGAAATTACTGTTTTGACTGTGCACTTTTAGTAGCCCTTGGTGGGAACTGGCTTATGCTGTTTTCCTCCAGCCATGCATAAAAAAAGTGCTGTTGAGATAAGATTGTGCATGTCATTTTATTATTCACCATAGCTAGCTTAAGTGTTCAATCGGCCCAGAGCACACAGGATCAATTAATCACCTGTTTTTAGGCTCAGGAAAGCTATCAGACAGCTCAGGTATCTTGACACTCCCCATCTTTCAAAATCCGTATGTCTTGCCTGGTTTTCCTAGAACACAGGAAAAAGAGTAAGAGATCAAAAAAAACCCCAAACATTCTCTGAGTCATACTTTGGCTGCATTCCATCAAATGGAATGGAGCTGGCTATTACAAAACTGACCTGCTCATTTTCCTGTCTAAAGACCTGATGTTACTGCAACATCCTGGCTCATGGATGTGCCCTCCCAGGGCCTGTGGCACTGGTGGTGCATCAGCAGCACAACCTGCTCCCTAGATGGGAGGACAGGGCTGTCCCTAGCATGAGGTTATGGTGGCCATTGGCTCCATTTGAGCCCCAGCCACCACCCCCAAGAATGGAGACCACCACCCCCCCACATCTCTGTGGCGGACCACCAGTTTGACCTGCTGCCTGTGTCAAATTTTCACCCTCTTGGGGCTGCTACTTGTGATGTTGCCCCATGTTGTATTGCCTGTACGAAGACTAGGGCACCAAGTCACTCCATCCCATCTGCAACTGTAGGCTGCTGCTGGATATTCCCAGGCACCCTCTTTCTTAGCCTGGATGGGCACAGCTCCTCTGCACTTCCCTGCACTTCACTTGACAAGCTGGTCATCCTCCCCCTCCTGCAGCCCAGCACAGGGTTTGTGTTATTTGCCGTGCAAGTGCAGCCTGCCGTGGCTTGTCCCAGGCTCTGGGGAGCTTGAATGGCCGTACTTCACAAGCACCCAGCTTCAGACAGCCAAAATTAGACCCAAGAGGTCCCTGCCAAGGGCATGAGCTTACATTTTTTCCACACAGAGCTGGCATTCATTGGCATAGGTATTCCCATCAGTCCCACAGATGGGCAAGTACAGGAGGGGGCAGGCCTGCACATCAACCAGGTCTTCACACACCGGCTGGAAAAGAGAAACCACAGTGCACATTTCAGTGCTAGCAGCACCCATTTCTTCCCCCCAGAACACTCACGCAGGAGCAAGTGCCACTGGCAACCCGGTTCCCTTTGTTTTGGAGCAGGGGCTGCTGAATGCCTCAGTGGGACGCCTGACCTGGGCTTTGGTGTGGGTTTGGTTGCCATGATGCTGGGGATGATTGCTGGGAACAGTCTTTCTCCCAGGCACACCAGGCACACCCATCTCAAGCCAAGAGCAAAGAAAACCAGAAGCATCTTACCCTTCTCAAACCACTTCCTTCATTCAGCTCTGCCCCTGAAACAGAGCAGAGACCCATGAGCATGGCACACCTGTGCCTGATGGCAGAAGCACGAGCTATTGACAGAGGATCACATCAAAACCAAAGGGAAGGCAGTGTTGTGCAGAGCCCATTCAGGACTGAATCAGCTCTGTGGGTTTCACCAGGGAGGATCAGTTTGCACCCCTCCCTGCCAGCAACATAGCACACAGCTTCCATCCACAGCTGAGCTAACTGGGACAAAGCAGTGGATGGCTGCTGCTCCCACTCTCTATATCCTCTCCCAACAGTCTTCTCTCACAGTTTCTGGGTCACAAGCTCCATGGAGTATCCAACGTATCTCAGGAAATGAGAAGCCATGCAATGCAGCATGCAGCAAGGGGTATCCCCAAAGGGATGAGGCTTGGTGATATTGCACAGCTGGACAACTGCCACCTCTAGGGAGAGTGGCATTTGGTGGGTATCTTTTCTCGGGCAAGCAGAACAGTAGCCCACCTGATCAGTGCACAGATGTCCTGGGAGCACGAAGGCTCCCACACAGGCAGCTGCAGGACCACCGCTACCTGCATGTAGGTAGCAATGGCTTCCCAACACCTACAAACAGGTGCTTCCCACGTAAATATGCTGAGCACATACTGTTCTTGCAAAGACTTGCCAGTTTTCATGGAGGCAGGAACTGCAGCAGCTGTCACTGCAATGTTCAAGCTGTCCTCCTGGAGCCTGGTTCCTGTTCACATTGTAGACTCTCCCCTCTTCCAGACCACTCCCAAGCACAATGTATTTGTGTAACCCTTGCCACAAACTAAATAAGGAAGGCACGGTGTGTTTGCGCCATCATGCTTCTTCCTCGCCATGCTGCTACTGTTTGTTTGCCCTAACCTTGCCTCCGCTCCAAATCAGAATTTCTAACTAGCATTTCCCTCCATCCCATTATCCATCTGTCATTCCCAATCCACCACTGATAAACCAGCCTCCAGCAGCACAGCAGATTTACCTCTGGCAGCAGCAAGGGTCACCATTGCTGCCAGCAGCAGCAGCAGCTCTCTCCCAGGCATGGTCAGTCCAGGCAGACCTGCTCATGCAACTTGCTCTGCTCGTGGCTGCCTTTATAGGGAAGGGCACAGCCTTATCTCAAGAACACTGGGAAAAGTGGTGTTTTGTTCCTGCTGGGAGCAGCTGGACTGTGCACCCTAAGGGATCACTTAGGCACTCTCACGCATTAAGATAAACTTTCCCCTGAAGCTTCTCACTTGACAGCTTCAGGTGGCAGCAGCAGAAGCTGCTTTACAATCCCTTTGCACCGGTCGTCAGGTGTTGTGGTTTGACACTGGCCCAATGCCAGGCAGCCATGGAAATCACTCACTCACCCTCCCCTGTTATAGACGGGCAGAGGAGAAAAAAATTAAATGAAGGCTTCATGAGCTGAAATAAGGACTGGCAGAAAACACTCCAAGGGCAAAATAGGCTCGGCTTAGAGGCACGAAGTGAATTTCTTAGTAATGAAACCAGAGGAGGCTAATGAGAAGTAAAATAAGCCCTTAAAAACACCTTTTCTTCTCCCACAGCCCTTCCCTCCTTCCCACCCACAATACAGGGAGACAGGGCATGGGTCTTTGATCAGTTCATCACCCGAGGTTTTCTACAGCTTCACAGGGAGGAAAGTTGTTCACCTGTGAGGCAGTGTGGTCCCTCCCACAGGAGGCAGTTCTCCATGAACTTCTCCAGTGTGGCTCCAAATCTCAGGAGCAGCAGTCCTCCCAAAACTGCTGGGTCACTCTTCCACGGGGTGCAGTCCTCCAAGGACAGGCTGCTCCAGCCTGGAAGCAGGGCCCTCTCTTCACTGGGTCTCTCACTGGATCACAACCTCCTCCAGGCATCCACCTGCTCCAGCATGGGGCTCCTCCATGTGCTGTGGGTGGATCTCTGCATCCCCTGTGGATCCCCGTGGGCTGTGGGTGGATCTCTTCATTCCCTGTGGATCCCCATGGGCTGTGGGTGGATCTCTGCATCCCCTGTGGATCCCCAGGGGCTGTGGGTGGATCTCTTCATTCCCTGTGGATCCCCATGGGCTGTGGGTGGATCTCTTCATTCCCTGTGGATCCCCACGGGCCGCAGGGGCACAGTTGCTGTACCACGGGCTGCAGGGGAATCTCAGCTCCAGTGGCTGGAGCATTTCCTGCCCCTCCTTCTCCACTGAACTTGGTGTCTGCAGAGTTGTTCTTCTCACATGTTCTCACCTCATCCTCTTCTCAGGCTGGAATTAATACTGCCATTAATAGTATTAACACTAATTTGTTTTGATTTTCTTATCAAATCTGTTATCACAGAGGCATTACCAACCTCTATAATTGGCCCAGCCTTGCCCAGTGGCATGTCCATCCTCAGAGCCGTCAGGGATTGGCTCTGCTGGACATGGTGGAAGCCTCCAGCAGCTTCTCACAGAAGCCACTTCTGTGGTTCCCTGCTACCAAATACCACACTATGCAAAACCAACACATCAGCGTTGAGCAATGCTGCTCTTCTCTGCTTAGCCCAGCCAGCTACTTCTGAATGTATCCCACCCAATCCATCCCTTCTGCTTTGCAGCTGCTGTTCTTCATATGTAACAGGTATCTCCCACTTGAGTTGTGAGACTAGACATATAAAAGCCAGGAAATTCAGGCTGATTTTGGTGGTGGCACCGTGGCATTATCCCATGAGACCCAGCCAGATGGACTAGCAGCTGTCTGACACACTGGTCAGGATCCCAAACATGCCAGGAGGCCTGTCACCACGCTGCAGCAAGCCCACACAGTCACTGAGTGGGATGAGACAGGCTGGGGGTGAAGAGGGTCTGGAGGGTACAAAATTCAGCTGCCTGGGGGCAGGGAGCTGCAGGTGCAGTCACTGCCTACGCTCAGAGGAGCTACATAGTCAGAGGTGGTTTAATACCTTACTCCAATCACCACCTTGGCTGCAGCTGAGAATAACAGAGCAAAATTGCTTTTATCGTAAGATTCAGCATGTTGGAAAGGGGCTGTGTGCATGGATACTCAGATTATATACACATAGGTGGCACACAGAGCAGGGAGGGCACAGAAAGGCTGGAGATGATCCTCAGTGGCAAGAAACACTGCCTTTTCAACAAGCTTCATAACCCCAGAATATCCCAGCTGCTTTGTCTGCAAGAGTGGACCGTTCTACATCAGGGTGAGCATTCTTATTTGCTCTTTCTCAGAAGCTTTATATTCTAGATCTGTCCCCACTTTCCCTTGGTGAAAAAAAATCAATTGGTGAAAGGTGAAGGATAGAAAAGAGGACCACTGGTCATAAAGCCAGTGTAAGACAATGTTGACTGAAAATTCCTTTGGGTCAGACTTGCTGAAATGAGGTCTGAGCCAGAAGGGACAGAGACTTACCTTCCCCATGGAAGCAGATGGGATGTATCAAGTGTGAAAGGGGTGAGCAGGGGGTCGGTGCCATACAGAAACCACCAGCAGGCTGGCAGAGCTCTAAATGCACCAAGCACACACATTTGCACTTGCTGAGGATCTGACTACGACTGTGCTTAGGATGCTTTTTCCCCAGAGGAAGATACACACTGGCTTTGTCTGTCTGAGACAAAAGGGGAGCATCCCCTGTAGCCAGAGCCTTGCCAGAGGCTGCTTGCATCCTCCTACTGGAGATCTGTTCACGCAACTCAGCAGGGCTGTGACCAGGTTTTGGGAAGTGGCAACGTAACCAGCTCAGGGTTCCCCTTGCAGAATCATTCCTCCACTCAGTCGAGGCAGCTGCACACATGTTTTATATTCCCTCTTCACAGAGTTTACACAGTTCAATAACCTTTGGCTTTCATTATTATTCCACTTTAGAAATCCCTCAACTAAAGCAAATATTTGACTGCATTAGCAGTTGTTCCCAAGGCACATGGGGTCCTGTTAGTCTTGTTTAGTCTAGTACAAGGGAGGCCAAGGGGGATCTGATAGTAGCCTACAACTGCTGGAAGGGAAGCTGATGGAGCCAATCTCTTTTTGGTGGTGCCAGATGACAGAATAAAAAGCAATAGTGACAAACTGCAGCCTTGAGATGATCAGGTTAGAGTCAGGAAAGAAGCCTTACTCCAAAGGGTGAGCAACTCAAACCAGCAGAGAGGTGGGACATCTCCATCTCAGTGGGACATGTACCTGACCAAGCCTCGCTGTGCACAAGGTTTGTTGAGCACTGAAGGGTCCTGCCACCAGCAGGTTGGGTCCATGGGACAAGCAGCTGTCAGTCTCCAGCACACACAAATGTATGTCCTTAGATTCACATCTGGCAAATCTGGTCCTAGCTAACACTCAACATGAACAACACAGAGCCCCTGCCTGCAAACTGCTCACACACCAACACACTTTATAGCTCTAGATGAGGGCTGTCTTGGGCCTTTAAAGCCCTCTTCAAAGTTTTTACAACCAAGAAAAACATCTAAATGCTGATTGTAATGCCTCTGGTGCCACTTCTGCTTCCAAGCATGGCCTGGTTCTTTGGTCATGCCAGCAGCAGTGCAGGAGCAACAGGCTGGAGCTGTGCTGCTGGAACACATTGTGTACTCCAGATCACTCCCCTTGGATAGAGGGTGGCAGGAAATGTCTGCTTCCCCTCTGTGCTGGAGACAGCAAGTTCAGCAGTGCTGTAGCAAAGCTATTGGCTGATAGAAGGCTTGTTCTTCCTCCTCCTTCTCATTCCTCAGTGGCATTCAAATTCCACTGTCTTCACAAAGCAGATTAAAATGATATGACAGATCATATATATAAGATATATATATCTATATAAGAGATGACAAAGGGTAAATGACTTCTTGCAAACTGTTTTTGTCTTTTTAAGCTTTTCTGCCAAGCACAAACTTGCAACCCCTAATGAAAAGTCCTGCCTACCGTACCCCTTGAATTGGGTGAGGGAATTCCTCCTCAGGTGGGGCAGGAGGTTTTCTGGTGGCTGCTTCCCTCACATTGGCTATGGAGCTCCAGCTGGCTCTGCGTTTTTGCCCTTACTTACACCACCAAGATGGTAGAAGGCTTCAAGACATAGGATGGGGAAATGTGAAGGTTCTGTGTTTGCCTGAGGAGCTGGAGACCTAGTGTCACCACCAGCAAGACACATAAACTCTACTTGGAGGCAGTGGCAACAAGCAAGGAGACTTCTGAAACAAATCTTGGGCCTGCTGTCCCACAGCACTGCCCTGCCTTTGTGCTTGGGCCACGGCAGTGGTACCCACTGTGACACAGCCCGTCCCTTCGTCCACTCGGCAGGACACCCTGGCTAGCTCCGGGCGAGCCTGTGCCACCAGTGGCCTCTCCTCAGAATCTCCACAGAGAGTTCAAGGTAGAGGTGTGTGGCTCCTGCCACCAGGCTGTCAGCTGGTCCGAGGGAGCACTAAGAGATCGAGGGAGTCTTTCCGTGGGTCCAAAAGAGGGTTTATTGAAGGAGGATGGGGTACAGAGCTAAAGACAGGGAGAAGGAACAACAGAAGGTGAAGAAACTGCTTGCGCATGAACTTAAATACGGGGGAGGATCCATGGGAGGATACAGAACATTATCCAATCAAGGGAACTCAGGGGAGGTACATAAGGCGGGGAAAAGTACACTGCAAACCAATGGCAGAACACATGGGAGGTAACACCACTACAGCAACGTATCATGTATCAAGGAAGGGGTAACTGACGTGGAACTTTCTAGAAATATGGGAGGGGCCAAGGAGGACTGACAAGGGCCTGTGAGGGAATTAGGGAGAAGGATGGGGAACAATCTGGAAAGTAGGTTGGGATTCAGGATGATGCACTAGGGGAAAGGCGGGAAGGGAATGAACCATTTAATACTCAACTCGGAGGTGTAACTTGGGGATAAACCAATTAACATTTAAAACTATATTATACTAAATTGCGCACCGCAACACCACTGGCCCACATCTGTGCACTCATCCAGGACTGCTCATCGCATCGTAAGCCCTTATGGCATCTCTCCCTTCCTAGGGCATGCAGCTCTCTTTGCAGGCTTTCCATGTGAGTGGGCACAGATGGCAGCTGGCCAGACA